GAGCTGATCTCCCTGTGCTATGCGGCTGCTTCCCACTAGCTATCTACCTTACGTTTGGTAGTGTATATATGTCCATGCCTCTCTCTCGCTTTGTCACAGCTTACCCTTCCCCCTCCCCACATCCTGAAGTCCATTCTCTAGTAGGTCTGTGTCTTTATTCCTGTCTTACCCCTAGGTACTTCATGACATTTTTTTTTCTTAAATTCCATATATATGTGTGTTAGCATACAGTATTTGTCTTTCTCTTTCTGACTTACTTCACTCTGTATGACAGACTCTAGGTCTATCCACCTCATTACAAATAGCTCAATTTCGTTTCTTTTTATGGCTGAGTAATATTCCATTGTATATATGTGCCACATCTTCTTTATCCATACATCCGATGATGGACACTTAGGTTGTTTCCATCTCCTGGCTATTGTAAATAGAGCTGCAATGAACATTTTGGTACATGACTCTTTTTGAATTATGGTTTTTTCAGGGTATATGCCCAGTAGTGGGATTGCTGGGTTGTATGGTAGTTCTATTTTTAGTTTTTTAAGGAACCTCCATACTGTTCTCCACAGTCACTGTATCAATTTACATTCCCACTAACAGTGCAAGAGGGTTCCCTTTTCTCCACACCCTCTCCAGCATTTATTGTTTCTACATTTTTTGATGATGGCTATTCTGACTGGTATGAGATGATATCTCATTGTAGTTTTGATTTCCATTTCTCTAATGATTAATGAAGTTGAGCATTCTTTCATGTGTTTGTTGGCAGTCTATATATCTTCTGTGGAGAAATGTCCATTTAGGTCTTCTCCCCATTTTTGGATTGGGTTGTTTGTTTTTTGTTATTGAGCTGCATGAGCTGCTTATAAATTTTGGAGATTAATCCTTTGTCATTTGCTTCATTTGCAAATATTTTCTCCCATTCTGAGGGTTGTCTTTTGGTCTTGTTTATGGTTTCCTTTGCTGTGCAAAAGCTTTGAAGTTTCATTAGGTCCCATTTGTTTATTTTTGTTTTTATTTCCATTTCTCTGGGATGTGGGTCAGAAAGGGTCTTGCTGTGATTTATGTCATAGAGTGTTCTGCCTATGTTTTCCTCTAAGAGTTTGATAGTTTCTGGCCTTACATTTAGGTCTTTAATCCATTTTGAGCTTATTTTTGTGTATGGTGTTAGGGAGTGATCTAATCTCATACTTTTACATGTAGCTGTCCAGTTTTCCCAGCACCACTTATTGAAGAGGTTCTCTTTCTCCACTGTACATTCCTGCCTCCTTTATCAAAGATAAGGTGACCATATGTATGTGGGTTTATCTCAGGGCTTTCTATCCTGTTCCACTGATGGATCTTTCTGTTTCTGTGCCAGTACCATACTGTCTTGATTACTGTAGCTTTGTAGTATACTCTGAAGTCAGGGAGCCTGATTCCTCCAGCTCCATTTATCGTTCTCAAGATTGCTTTGGCTATTCAGGGTCTTTTGTGTTTCCATACAAATTGTGAATTTTTTTGTTCTAGTTCTGTGAAAAATACCAATGGTAGTTTGATAGGGATTGCATTGAATCTGTAGATAGCTTTGGGTAGTAGAGTCATTTTCACAATGTTGATTCTTCCAATCCAAGAACATGGTATATCTCTCCATCTATTTGTATCATCTTTAATTTCTTTTATCAGTATCTTATAATTTTCTGCATACAGGTCTTTTGTCTCCTTAGATAGGTTTACTCCTAGATATTTTATACTTTTTGTTGCAATGGTAAATGGGAATGTTTTCTTGATTTCACTTTCAGATTTTTCATCATTAGTGTATAGGAATGCCAGAGATTTCTGTGCATTAATGTTGTATCCTGCTACTTTACCAAATTCATTGATTAGCTCTAGTAGTTTTCTGGTAGCATCTTTAGGATTCTATATGTATAGTATCATGTCATCTGCAAACAGTGACAGCTTTACTTCTTTTCTGATTTGGATTCCTTTTATTTCCTTTTCTTCTCTGATTGCTGTGGCTAAAACTTCCAAAACTATATTGAATAAGAGTGGTGAGAGTGGGCAACCTTGTCTTGTTCCTGATCTTAGTGGAAATGCTTTCAGTTTTTCACCATTGAGGACGATGTTGGCTGTGGGTTTGTCATATATGGCCTTTATTATGTTGAGGAAAGTTCCCTCTATGCCTACTTTCTGGAGGGTTTTTATCATAAATGGGTGTTGAATTTTGTCGAAAGCTTTCTCTGCATCTATTGAGATGATCATATGGTTTTTCTCCTTCAATTTGTTAATATGGTTTATCACATTAATTGTTTTGTGTATATTGAAGAATCCTTGCATTCCTGGAATATATCCCACTTGATCATGGTGTATGATCCTTTTAATGTGCTGCTGGGTTCTATTTGCTGGTATTTTGTTGAGGATTTTTGCATCTATGTTCATCAGTGATATTGGCCTGTAGTTTTCTTTCTTTGTGACATCCTTGTCTGGTTTTGGTATCAAGGTGATGGTGGCCTCGTAGAATGAGTTTGGGAGTGTTCCTCCCTCTGCTATACTTCGGAAGAGTTTGAGAAGGATGGGTGTTAGCTCTTCTCTAAATGTTTGATAGAATTGACCTGTGAAGCCATCTGGTCCTGGGCATTTGTTTGTTGGAAGATTTTTAATCACAGTTTCAATTTCAGTGCTTGTGATTTGTCTGTTCATGTTTTCTATTTCTTCCTGATTCAGTCTTGGCAGGTTGTGCCTTTCTAAGAATTTGTCCATTTCTTCCAAGTTGTCCATTTTATTGGCATAGAGTTGCTTGTAGTAATCTCTCATGATCTTTTGTATTTCTGCAGTGTCAGTTTTTACTTCTCCTTTTTCATTTCTAATGCTATTGATTTGAGTCTTCTCCCTTTTTTTCTTGATGAGTCTGGCTAATGGTTTATCTATTTTGTTTATTTTCTCAAAGAACCAGCTTTTAGTTTTATTGATCTTTGCTATTGTTTCCTTCATTTCTTTTTCATTTACTTCTGATCTGAGTTTTATGTTTTCTTTCCTTCTGCTGACTTTGGGGTTTTTTTGTTCTTCTTTCTCTAATTGCTTTATGTGCAAGTTTAGGTTGTTTATTTGAGATGTTTCCTGTTTCTTAAGGTACGATTGTATTGCTATAAACTTCCCTCTTAGAACTGCTTTTGCTGCATCCCATAGATTTTGTGTCGTCGTGTCTCCATTGTCATTTGTTTCTAGGTATTTTTTAATTTCCTCTTTGATTTCTTCTGTGATCACTTTGTTATTAAGTAGTGTATTGTTTAGCCTCCATGTGTTTGTATTTTTTACAGATCTTTTCCTGTAATTTATATCTAGTCTCACAGTGCTGTGGTCAGAAAAGATACTTGAAACAATTTCAACTTTCTTAAATTTACCAAGGCTTGACTTGTGACCCAAGATATGATCTATCCTAGAGAATGTTCCATGAGCACTTGAGAAAAATGTGTATTCTGTTGTTTTTGGATGGAATGTCCTATAAATATCAATTAAGTCCATCTTGTTTAATGTATCATTTAAAGCTTGTGTTTCCTTATTTATTTTCATTTTGGATGATCTGTCCATTGGTGAAAGTGTGGTGTTAAAGTCCCCTACTATGAATGTGTTACTGTCGATTTCCCCTTATGTATTGAGGTGCTCCTATGTTGGGTGCATAAATATTTACAATTGTTATATCTTCTTCTTGGATCAATCCCTTGATCATTACGTAGTGTTCTTCTTTGTCTCTTCTAATAGTCTTTATTTTAAAGTCTATTTTGTCTGATATGAGAATTGCTACTCCAGCTTTCTTTTGGTTTCCATTTGCATGAAATATCTTTTTCCATCCCCTTACTTTCAGTCTGTATGTGTCTCTAGGTCTGAAGTGGGTCTCTTGTAGACAACAAATATATGGGTCTTGTTTTTGTATGCATTCAGCCAATCTGTGTCTTTTGGTGGGAGCATTTAGTCCATTTACATTTAAGGTAATTATGGATATGTATGTTCCTATTCCCATTTTCTTAATTGTTTTGGGTTCGTTATTGTAGGTCTTTTCCTTCTCTTGTGTTTCTTGCCTAGAGAAGTTCCTTTAGCAGTTGTTGTAAAGCTGATTTGGTGGTGCTGAACTCTCTCAGCTTTTGCTTGTCTGTAAACATTTTAATTTCTCCATCAAATCTGAATGAGATCCTTGCTGGGTAGAGTAATCTTGGTTGCAGGTTTTTCTCCTTCATCACTTTAAATATGTCCTGCCAGTCCCTTCTGGCTTGCAGAGTTTCTGCTGAAAGATCAGCTGTTAACCTTATGGGGATTCCCTTGTGTGTTATTTGTTGTTTTTCCCTTGCTGCTCTTAATATGTTTTCTTTGTATTTAATTTTTGACAGTTTGATTAATATGTGTCTTGGCATATTTCTCCTTGGATTTATCCTGTATGGGGCTCTCTGTGCTTCCTGGACTTGATTAACTATTTCTTTTCCCATATTAGGGAAGTTTTCAACTATAATCTCTTCAAATATTTTCTCAGTCCCTTTTTCTCTTCTTCTTCTGGAACCCCTATAATTCAAACGTTGGTGCGTTTAATATTGTCCCAGAGGTCTCTGGGACTGTCCTCAGTTCTTTTCATTCTTTTTTCTTTATTCTGCTCTGCAGTAGTTATTTCCACTATTTTATCTTCCAGGTCACTTATCCGTTCTTCTGCCTCAGTTATTCTGCTATTGATCCCATCTAGAGTATTTTTAATTTCATTTATTGTGTTGTTCATCATTGTTTGTTTCATCTTTAGTTCTTCTAGGTCCTTGTTAAATGTTTGTTGCATTTTGTCCATTCTATATCCAAGATTTTGGATCATCTTTACTATCATTATTCTGAATTCATTTTCAGGTAGACTCCCTGTTTCCTCTTCATTTGTTAGGTCTGGTGGGTTTTTATCTTGCTCCTTCATCTGCTGTGTGTTTTTCTGTCTTCTCATTTTGCTTATCTTACTGTGTTTGGGGTCTCCTTTTTGCAGGCTGCAGGTTCGTAGTTCCCGTTATTTTTGGTGTCTGTCCCCAGTGGCTAAGGTTGGTTCAGTGGATGGTGTAGGCTTCCTGGTGGAGGGGACTAGTGCCTGTGTTCTGGTGGATGAGGCTGAATCTTGTCTTTCTGATGGGCAGGTGCACGTCTGGTGGTGTGTTTTGGGGTGTCTTTGGGCTTATTATGATTTTAGGCAGCCTCTCTGCTAATGGGTGGGGTTGTGTTCCTGTCTTGCTAGTTGTTTGGCATAGGATGTCCAGCACTGTAGCTTGCTGGTCATTGAGTGAAGCTGGGTGCTGGTGTTGAGATGGAGATCTCTGGGAGATTTTCGCCATTTGATATTATGTGGAGCTGGGAGGTCTCTTGTGGACCAGTGCCCTTAAGTTGGCTCTCCCACCTCAGAGGCACAGCATTGACTCCTGACTGCAACACCAAGAGCCTTTCATCCACACGGCTCAGAATAAAAGGGAGAAAATGTAGAAAGAAAGAATTAGTATAAGTAGAAAGAAAGAAAGAAAGAAAGAAAGGAGGGAGGGAGGGAGGGAGGAAAGAAGGAAGGAAGGAAGGAGGGAAGGGTGGAAAAAAGAAAGAAAGAAGATAAAGTAAAATAAAATAAAGTAAGATAAAATATAATAAAGTTATTAAAATAAAAAATAATTATTAAGAAGAAACAACGGACGGATAGAACCCTAGGACAAATGGTGGAAGCAAAGCTATACAGACATAATCTCACACAGAAGCATACACATACACACTCACAAAAAGAGGAAAAGGGGAAAAAATCATAAATCTTGCTCCCAAAGTCCACCTCCTTAATTTGGGATGATTTGTTGTCTCTTCAGGTATTCCACAGATGCAGGGTATATCAAGTTGATTGTGGAGCTTTAATCCGCTGCTTCTGCAGCAGCTGGGAGAGATTTCCCTCTCTCTTCTTTGTTCTCACAGCTCCCGGGGCTCAGCTTTGGATTGGGCTCCGCCTCTGCATGTAGGTCGCCGGCTCAGGCCGGGCGGGGGTGGGGGGGAGGAGCAGGGAGTGCGGGGCGGGCCTGCGGCGGCAGAGGCCGGCATGACGTTGCACCAGCCTGAGGCGCTCCGGGCGTTCTCCCGGGGAAGTTGTCCCTGGATCCCGGGACCCTGACTGTGGCGGGCTGCACACGCTCCCCGGAAGGGGAGTGTGGATAGTAACCTGTGCTCACACACAGGCTTCTTGGTGGCGGCAGCAGCAGCCTTAGCATCTCATGCCCGTCTCTGGGTTCCGCTCTTTTAGCCGCGGCTCGCGCCCGTCTCTGGAGCTCCTTTAAGCAGCGCTCTTAATCGCCTCTCCTCGCGCACCAGAAAACAAAGAGGAAAGAAAAAGTCTCTTGCCTCTTCGGCAGGTCCAGACTTTTCCCCGGACTCCCTCCCGGCTAGCCGTGGTGCATTTACCCCCTGCAGGCTGTGTTCACGCCGCCAACCCCAGTCCTCTCCCGGTGCTCCGACTGAAGCCTGAGCCTCAACTCCAAGCCCCGCCCGCCCTGGCGGGTGAGCAGACAAGCCTCTCGGGCTGGTGAGTGCCGGTCGGCCCTGATCCTCTGTGCAGGAATCTCTCTGCTTTGCCCTCCACACCCCTGTTGCTGTGCTCTTCTCCGCTGCTCCGAAGCTTTCCCCCTGCGCCACCCGCAGTCTCCGCCCGCGAAGGGGCTTCCTAGTGTGTGGAAATCTTTCCTCCTTCACAGCTCCCTCCCACTGGTGCAGGTCCCATCCCTATCCTTTTGTCTCTGTTTATTCTCTTTTATTTTGCCCTCCCCAGGTACGTGGGGGGTTTCTTTCCTTTTGGGAAGTCTGAGGTCTTCTGCCAGCGTTCAGTAGGTGTTCTGTGGGAGTTGTTCCACGTGTAGATGTATTTCTGGTGTATCTGTGGGGAGGAAGGTGATCTCCGCGTCTTACTCTTCCGCCATCTTCCCGGAAGCCTATTCCATGTTTTTTTAGCTGATTTTTTTCCTTTAGTTAATTTATAGTTTTGACATCATCAGTATTCTGAATTATAGCTCTATAATTCAGTAAGAAAGAATGCTGACTAAAGGTGAATGCATTTGAAAGGTAAAAATCTCAGGGAATGAGTCAACTCTATTGTTCATAATAATTTTTTTTTTTTTTGCGGTACGCGAACCTCTCACTGTTGTGGCCTCTCCCGTTGCGGAGCACAGGCTCCGGACGCGCAGGCTCAGTGGCCATGGCTCACGGGCCCAGCCGCTCCGCGGCATGTGAGATCCTCCCAGACGGGGGCACAAACCCGTGTCACCCGCATCGGCAGGCGGATTCTCAACCACTGCGCCACCAGGGAAGCCCCATAATAATTTTAATAAAAGTATCCCAACTATAAAAAACCAACAGCTATTTTTACTTCAGATCATGACAACTTTAGAAATGACACATATGACATTTTATTCCCTCCTTTTGCAACAATATGGATTCTATGAACCCATATCATATACAGGTTGGACTTTGTCATTAAAAATGTGCACAAAACCATGAGTAAATTATAGGGCAAGTGATCATTTATTATGTTAATCACCAGGCTTCCAATTATACTTTAGAAAAAAAATGCAGTAATCAGCATGAGGAACTCATTTGCACAAAAGAAACATTCAGTTTGCCTGTATAGACTGAGACACAATGTGGTCTCACATCCTTAGATTTATACATTTTTATGCTTTCAAAATACTACCTTTGGTGTAATGATACTAACGTTGATGAAATTATCAGAAGCATGAATGTATAGTTATTAATGAGCTCTGCGACGTCACAGAAACAAATGGATGCTAGATGTTTCATTATCTTACATATGGTAATATAGGCATACCTCATTGTGTTGCATTTCACTTTACGGTACTTTGCAGGTATTGTGTTTTTTACAATTGAAGGTTTGTGGCGACCCTACATTGAGCAAGCCTATTGGTGCAATTTTTCCAAAAGCATTATTTTTAATTTAATGTACATTGTTTTTTTTTTAGACATAATACTATTGCACACTTCATAGACTACAGTATAGTGTAAACATAGCTTTTATGTGCACTGGGAAACCAAAAATTTGTGTGACTCGCTTAATAGCCATATTTTCTTTCTTTCAGTGATGTGTAACAATGTCTCTGAGGTATGCCTGTATCCTTTTCATTACAGAGAATATGTAGGTTATTGAAATGTGTAAAATGTTTACTTAAACACACTCTGTTGGGTAATCGTTTTGGCTTGGCATAAAGATGTTATTTAAATTGGTTACTTTGGGAGATTTCTTTATCCATAAAAAGAAAATTAAACATCAATTCTTGATTATAATAGCAAGTTAATCACTTCAAACTTACTGCATAGTCTACTGTCACAGTTATTAGGGCAACTGGCACAAGGTGTTCCTTGTTGGTAAGGGGTACTCTTTTTACTCACATTATTACCACTGTAATGTAAAATACACACTGTCAAATATTTTTCACTTTACTGTTTAGTTGCCAAGGGCAACATCAATCACTAAATGTATATAAGTATACATGTAATGTTTTTAGTTCTGTTAACAAATCTGAGGGGAATTCCCTGGCGGTCCAATGGCTAGGATTCTGGGCTTTCACTGCTGTGGTCCCAGGTTCGACCCCTTAGGTCGGGGAACTAAGATCCCACAAGCCACACCACCAGGCCAAAAAAAAAACCAAAAAAAAAACTACAAAACAAATCTGAAAAATTACAATTCCCAACATGTAATTTACGTAACATCCAAATTAAGGAAATACTTCACACACATCGACCCATCTCCTTGACTCTACTTCTTCAGGCTGGGTAGCTACATTGGCATAACTAGTCTAAAGCATCCAGATTAACTTCTTTGCAGCAATACACTTTTCATCTCCCAGTAGACTTGGTCAGATTGGTAAGGCCGTGCCCCGCAGAGAGCTGGCTAGGGATAAATATATCACTTTGAGAGATGGGGAAAGATCCTGGGGGCAGGAGGTTGCAGTACAAAAAAGAATACTCAATGTTGCAGTATAATTTTATATTTGAAAGAGGATAAATACCTTAATTCCTCTAATATGAACTAGGGACAGTAAAGCTCCAATATATATATTTTTAATTTCGAGATGGCATTGTGCTATTTAAGTAGTTTGTGGTGTGTGTATTTGTGGGTCAGGAAGAGCTGGGGAAGGTTTATGAGTTTCCAGAGGTAGTGCGTGATTTTTATGTTTACCGAAAAAGGAACGTGAGATTAAAAAGTTTTGATAAACGCCAATAGCCTGGGTGTAGTCAATTACAGTGACTAACTTGTAACTCATCGATGATGCTTATCCTATTGGCTGTTAAATTTATCTAATTCATCGGAAAATACATGGGAATCTCAGTAGTGTCAAGGGAGCCAAGGGCCCAAAGTGATGTATTTGAATCTGTCTTCCTGCACAGAACCTGGCTGTCCCTGTGGTAGCCCTTGGAAAGATTGTGACGTAGACACAAAAGTGTTCTGGAGGTGCTGTCACTCCCACTTTCCTCATTATTCACTTCAGCTCTCACTCCAGATGCCCGGTTCCCGATGCCTCCCCTCTCACAGCCAGGCAGTGAGTTTGGATGCATTCTCCAAGGATCTATCAATTTTTTTATTAAGTTATACTTGACACACAATATTCTATTAGTTTCACGTGTACAACATAGTGGTTTGATATTTTTATACATTATGAAATCACCACAGTAATTCCAGTTACCATCTGTACATCTCTTGTGGTTTGATGGATTCCTTTAGTGTTAGCTTTGGACTTCTTTTTCATTATTTTTTGTGTATCCGTTGTAGGTTTTTATTTTGTACTTAACATGAGGTTCATATATATCAGTCTGTATCTATAGCTGTTTTAAGCTGATAGTCACTTAAGTTCAAAGGCTTTCTAAAAGCACTAAATTTTTACTACCCCCATCTGTTTTATGATTTTTATGTCATATTTTACATTTTTTTACCTTGTGTAGTCCTTCACTACTTGTTGCAGTTACAACTGATAGTAGCACTTTTGTCTTTTAAACTTCATACTAGCTTTTTAAGTGGTTGATGATCCACTGCCATTACTATATATTTGCCTTTACCAGTGAGATTTATTCTTTTATATGTGTTTTCTGTTTCTAGTTGTGGCCTTTGCTTTTCTGCTTAAAGAAGACCCTTTAACATTTCTTGTAAGGCCAGTTTAGTGATGATGAACTTTTTTAGTTTTGCTTGTCTGGGAAACTCTTTATCTATCCTTCAATTCTGAATGATAACCTTGCTGAACAGAATATTCCAGGTTGTAAGCTGTTTTTGTTTTTGTTTTTTCAGAACTTTAAATATATCCTACCACTCCCTTCCAGCCTTTAAAGTTTCTCCTGGAAACCAGCTGATAGTCTTATGGGGTTTCTCTTTTGTGTGATTAGTTGTTTTTCTCTTGTTGCCTTAAAAATTTCCTTTTTAACTTTTGCCATTTTAATTATGTCTTGGTATAACTCTAGGTTCATCTTGTTTGGGACTCTCTTAGCTTCCTGTACCTGGATGTCTGTTTCCTTTTTCAGGTTAGGGAAGATTTCAGGCATTATTTTTTTTTAATGTTTTCTGTTCCTTTCTCTCTCTTATCTTTCTGGGACCCCTAGCTGTTGGTAGTTTGCTGTTGTCCCAGAGGTACCTTAAACTCTCCTCATTTAAAAAAAAATTCTTTCTTCTTTTTGCTGTTCTCATTGGGTGATTTTTCACTATTCTATCTTCCAGATCGCTTATCTGTTCTTCTGTATCATATAATCTGCTATTGATTCTCTTGAGTGTATTTTTTATTTCAGTTCCTATATTCTTCATTTCTGATTGGTTCTTTTATTTTCTAAGTCTTTGCTGAAATTCTTATTGTGTTCTTCCATTATTCTCCCTAGTTCAGTGAGCATCCTATAACCATTTCTTTGAACTCTATCAGGTAAATTACTTATCTCCATTTCATTAGAGTTTTTTCCTGTGGTTATATTCTGTTCTTTCATTTGGAACATATTCCTGTCTCCTCATTTTGTTTGAATTTTGTTTTTATTATTATTAAATTTTTTATTGGAGTATAGTTGCTAAATTTTGGGTTTTTTTCTATGATTTAGGCTAAACAGCTACCGCTCTTGGTCTTGAAGGAGTGGCCTTGTGTAAGAGCATCCCCTGTGACTGCTTGTGACTGGTGGCTTTAGCAGACCAGCTTGAGCTGGAATGGGCCAGGCTAGAGGAAGTCCCTGGGGAGCACTGTGCTTACGGCTGCCTTGGTGGGATGGCTAGGGCTGCAGCTGGGGAAGGTGTGTACTGGGGGGAGTCCCAGGGGGACCAAACAATGGTGCTCGCTGGTGCCTTCGACTCTGGGGAGGGCTCCAGCAGTTCCCCGTTCATTTGGAAGAAGCTCTCAGGTTAGTAGATGGATTTTCCTTCTGTATAGTCTGAATGCTTTTTAAATTGCTGGGGTTTTTTTTGCTGTGTCCCAGGGCAGGTGAGTCTGTTCTCAAGCCCCTCAGCTATATCCCTCCTACTGCAGATCACTAAAATGGGGGTGGGGTTCCCATGGATACAGTGTCTCCATCTTTCCTACTAATTTCTATGTGGTCCTTCTCTCTGCAGAAGCTGTTAAATCAGCTTCGGGGGCAATTTCTTTATAGGTAGGTGTAGATTCAGTGTGTGCGTGGGAGGAGGTGAGCTCAGGGTCTTCCTAGGCCCGTGTTGTCCTTCCCCAAATGACCTATCTATTCTTTCTACTAAACTCTAATAGCTGTTTTCAGGAAAATGACTTTGGAGGTCATATTTCTCAAACTGGAGACCCATATCCCTGGGTCATCTATAGTACCAAATAAATCCTATGTGAGGCTTGGTTTGGGGCCTCCCTGCCTGTAGTGGTAAAGAACTTCAAATTTTAAAAGAAATTAAGACTAGCAGATATGTTGAGGTTAGGTCTTTAGTTTATCCATAGGATTTGTTGTGGCGGACTTAAAACGTTTTGCTTAATGAAAGAGCATGTTTCCTGTTACAAATAAAGACTGTAAGGAATTGTTCGTTATGGAGTTCTTGGTGAAAACTTCTGAGAAACGAAAGCTTAAGATGTTTCCTTTTTCTGGACTCTAACATATATTAAAGATCTCTTGAAAAACCTTTGAGACCCAGAAGAATGAATCATTTCTAATGATAATAACGTATATGGTTTTCAAGATAAGTAAGAATAGGAACGTTTCAGCAGAAAGGGCTGAAATCACAATTTACTATCCCTTATTTTCCACTCCACTACTGCCTCTTGCTTAACCATCAAGCTTCCACCCACCTAGGGTGTGAAATTAGTGAGAACTGATGACATCAAGTCTAGAGAAATGCATATTACACGTGCCCAGAGAATAACCTTGAGCCCTGGGGAAAGGCAATTGAGAGAAAAGACATGACTTCATAATTGAGGAAAGAGAGTTTCAGATTTTACTCTTGGAAATGAGAACTTGGTCTCTTCTCTGATAAGTTGAATGTATCTTACCTTAAGCAGTATTTCCAAAGGTTTATCCCTTCTCTTTATTAAAATATGCTTTTTTATTTTGATTGGGTAAATGTAAGATTATTTTAAAATATTAAATTGCCGATGGAATTATTGGTATTAAACTTTAAAGTATATACTTATGCAGGAAAGTACTGGCAAACATAGTATTTTAGACTCTCCTGATTGGGACAGTAGGCAATTCCACATCCAACACGGAAAGATGAGTACCAAACAAGCTACAAATGCATAAGGAAATATGTAAGAGTACATTAAGGAAGAGGGGAAAATATTGGGAAAACAAAGAATAGCAAATGTAAAACAAAAAAGTGATTCTTGGCACTTCCTTGGTGGTGCAGTGGTTAAGAATCCATCTGCCAATGCAGGGGACACGGGTTCCATCCCTGGTCCCGGAAGATCCCACATGCCTCGGGGCAACTAAGCCCACGTGCCACGACTACTGAGCCCGCATGCTGCAACTACTGAAGCCCGCGTGCCTAGAGCCCATGCTCCACAACAAGAGAATCCGCTGCAATGAGAAGCCCGCACACTGCAGTGAAGAGTAGCCCCCACTCACGACAACTAGAGAAAGCCTGCGTGCACCAACAAAGACCCAATGCAGCCAAATATTTAAAAAGAAAGAAAAAAAAGTGACTTATAGTTTGTAGCCGTACACCTTATGGAAATATTTAAATTACTGAAACAAAGTCACAAACTTTAAAAATATTAAATTTCATGTATCCATTTATAATGTTGGAAAAGTACAGAGTGTACTTCCCTGCCAAGAATTTTGCAGCTCATGGAAAAAAAAAATGACAGTTCTAGATGAAATACCAGCCAAATGCCAGGACTCTATTATACTCAAGCCCTTCCCCCAGATTGAACATTGGTGTTGGTCATCATTTGGAGAAGCTTTCTCTGTTAGAGCATTTGTGGCAGAAGTTTTTCATTTGTTCTGGTTACCTGGGTATAATGTCCAACAATTGCACTGAAGCTCTTTGGTCCTGCACCATAGACAAAATTGTGGTGTTCTTCAAACCAGCTTTGGATTGCATCTGACCAGGCAGTAGGGTCACTTGACATGTAGAGATTCTCACCACATTTTGTATCTAAGTGTGAACAGATCATTCATGAAGAAAACAAAAAAGCATGCCATGGCAAGAGAAGTCAACTACATGAACACAAGGATGTTGCCCTTCAAACTCAGTGCCTGTATTTGCTAACTGTTAATACATGTAAAAGATGCTTCCATTCCTTATCAACTGTAAAGCTGAATAGAAGACAGATCTACCTAGCCCACTGGGCTGGCCACAATATGCAAACTTTGAATAGGTTGAGAAGAATTTATTCTAACAAGGACCTGCTGTATAGCACAGGGAACTATACTCAATATCTTGTAATAACCTATAATGGAAGTGAATGTAAAAAAATATATATATATGTATATTTGAATCACCTTGCTGTACACCTGAAGCTATCACAACATTGTAAATTAACTATATTTCAATAAAAATCAAAACCAAACCAAACCAAACAAAATCCTTCTCCCTGTGGATTGTCAAAGATGCATTCTTTTTCATGCTAAATTCTTTACAGGTATAATGTGTGTGCTCTCAGCTTTGTATTGTTAGCTTACGAAAGGCAACAACCAAATTTTATTTTTTCTCTCCTCTTACCCACCCTCAGCAGAGATTTTTCACATATAGGAGCCAGAATAAATATTTATGATTATGAATTTGCATAAACTTTGAAAAAAAAAAGGTTTACGGGCAGTCTTTGAGAGTCCCAATCAAGAGTCAACTGACATCAGGAAGGTGTTCAAAACTTGTAGCTCTTCCCTTAATCCATGAGTCATAATGTCACAATGTGACATTATAGTTATTTAATGTTATATAACTTACAGTTATAACTCTCTGAGGAGAGTTATATATAACTTACAGTTATATTATAACTGTATATTATAACTTACAGTTATATTATAACTGTATATTATAACTTACAGTTATATTATAACTCTCTGAGGAGTCATAATGTCTCCTCAGAGAGTTAGGCAGGAAGGACCTTGCAGAGGGTGACATCAGCAGAATGGTGAGGTAGGAAGCCCTGGACTCTCCTTTCCCCAATACACACACTGATTCAGCAACAATTCACGAACAAATTGCCCTTGTCAGAAATCCAAAAGCAAAACTAAAGGCTTCCTGACCCTGAGGGGTATGAAACCAGACTCACTGAAGCCTCTAGGGAGATTGGAAAACCCTCTTGCGAGAATCCCTACCCTCAGCACCGTGCTATACAATCAGGAAGAGACCCTCTAACTCCCAGCTTCTCCCAGGGGAGGGAAAGAGTTGGCTCATGTGTCCAGCAACCCAACGTTTCCAAGGGGACACCCCAGAGGGCTGGCTTCTGTCTTGCTAGTCTTGGAGGTGGTGAGTGGAGATGGTGTTTGGGCTGTTAGACACCGTAACTCCTCCCTCTGGCTCAGCACAGAGCAAGCAAATGAAAAATCCTTTCATTGTTTTCCTTTCTTCCCTGGGAGGCAGAGTTGATCAATGTGTCCAGTGGTCCAGTTTCTCTGGGGCTACCCAAAGAACTGGCATCTTTCTTGCCAGTCCTGGAGCGCAATCTTGTTTCCTGGGGGACAACTGGGGGACAACTGAGATGGCAGTTTGGATTGGTAGATGCCATAGCCCTTCTCCCCAGCTCAGCACAGAGCAAGCCGACAAAAACCACAGCTGCCTGCTTCTCCCTGGGGAGGGAAGAAGCTGGTTTGGTCATCTGACGCCACACATTTTCCAGAGGCTGCCCGAAGGACTGGCTCCTGACTTGCCTGTTTTGGAGTGCTGTCAAGACCTAGCATAAGCTCGCTGCCTGTGGCTAGTGAGAACAGAGACACATATTTGGGCTGGCAGTTGCCGTAGCCTCCCTTCCTGGTTCAGCAGAGTGAACAAACAACATACTCCAGCTCTTAGCCTCTCCCTGGGGAGGGAAAGAATTGGATGGACTGTCAGAGATCCATCTCTTCTGGGGGCTGCCTGAGGAAACGACTTAAGAATCTTCCTTGAGCAAAACGGACTTGAACAGCATTTCTCCAAAAAAGATGTACAGATGACCAACAGGTATATGAAAAGGTGCTCAGTGTCACTAATCATCAGAAAAAGGCAGATCAAAACCACAAGGAGATATCACCTTACACCTGTCAGGATGTCTGTTCTCAAAAAACAAACGACAGCAAGAGAAACTGGAATTCTTGTACGCTGTTGGTGAGAATAAAACCTGGTGTACCTGTTGTAGGCAACAGTAGGGAGGTTCCTCAAAAAATTAAAAGTAGAGCTACCAAATGATCCAGCAATTCCACTTCTGAGTATTTATCCAAAAGAATTGAAGTCAAGATCTTGAAGAGATATTTACATTCTCATGTTCACTGCAGCACTATTCATGATAGCCAAGATGTGGAAATGACCTAAATGTCCATCAGCAGATGAACGGATAAACAAAATGTGGTATATACACACAATGGAATATCATCCATCCTTAGAAAAGAAGGAAATTCTGCAACATGCAGCAACATGAATGAACCTTGAGGATATTTTGCTAAGTGAAATAAGCTAGTCACAGAAAACGAGTGCCTGATTCTATCAGTATGAAGTATCTCAAATAGTCAAATTCGTAGAATCAAAGAGTGGAATGGTGGTTGCTGGGCTGGGGGGAAGGAGGAATGGGGAGTTACTAATCAACGGGCATAAACTTTCTGGTAAGCAAGATAATTTCTAGATATCTGATGGACAGCATGGCACCTACAATCAACAATATTGTATCGTACACTTAAACATTTCTTGAGAGGGTAGATTTCATGTTAAGTGTTCTTAGCAGCATAAAATTTTTTAAAAACCAAAAAATAAAAAAGGTGTTCTTACCACAGTAAAATTAATTTAAAGAAGAAAGAAGTGCCTTGAGGTCCAGAAACGTTACCCTTTTCAGCCCTCTCTTAATATTTACGTTTTGGTGACTTGAAATATAATGTTTACGTGCTGCTTAAAGAAAGTATAAAATGTTTTTGGATATCTTCTTTAATAAGGAAAGACAGAAACTTAGAAACTAACAGTAGACTTGGATCTTTAAGACCATTTGTTCCAATGTTCTACTGAACACAGTCGCCTCCTGTTGTAATTTCATCATAATGTTTGCATCAACAATATAAACAAGAACAATTCTACTGAAATGACAGGTAAGTTATTCACTACCTTTAAATTGGGCGTACCTATGTGTATATCATGCTTGATAATGTAAAACATTTTATGTAAGGTTTGTGAATACAAGTTTTTTTTCTCTCATGGCTTTTATGATCCTTGGTAAGATACGTCTTCAAGTTTTTTCGAGTCTAATATATTATTCTATGCATTATAGGTACACAGTCTATACAAAATACTTGAAAATTTGTTATCAAAACTTTAAAAAATGAATCAACACACCCAAAATATTCATCCTGATTAAAAATAGCTTAAATATTTTTAGAGTAAAATTCAGGAACAGTTCAACATATTTTAACACATTTTGTGAATGCAAAATAATCTGATTTCAAAACACCATACAGCTACACAATATCACAAAAAGGGCAAAGGGTGAGAAATCAGGAAGCCTGGTTAACTTTCCAGTATATGATACTCCTACCAGTTGTGTTCTTGCATAATTCATTCCTTCCACATCCTTACTTTTTAATCTTTAAAATCGGGAAAATGATTATGCAGACCTGTTCACCATGAGCTGATCAAGAGGAACAAATGAGATGCTGCTTAAGAAATAATTTGCATAATGTAAATAATCAACAAGCATGAAATAGTACTTATCGTATCTCTCTCTATACAGATACTTTAATTTTAAAAGTACAACCATATAAGCAACATTTATTCACAAAGTCTTCTGAATACAATGCCCCAGAATGGTCTATCCTATTTTATTTGTCTAATATTTTATTTGCTCATTTATTCAACAAACATTGACTCTTTTACATACTGGTCTTCTGGCCATCTGGATTACTGTGTTCTAAAGTGCACTTGTTTGCCCACTTCTGGGCATTTGCTGTTGCTTCTCTGCTGCATTCCTAAATGTCACAAGAAAAACAAAATACGCAAAGATTCAACTCCAATGAAGTATATGCTTCAAAATCTGATTGGCAGGCTGATTTGCATTACTTTAAAACTTCTGTAGATGTATTATCTAATTGTCATTGGTATTAAAGTACCTTTTTGTTTGTGTGTATGTGTGTGCGTGGGTCTTTATCTGTCCCAGTGCCAGTTTCCACACAAAGACAAGTCCACAGGTATGTCTAACGAGAGAAATACCTAATACAATATTATCTGACTATGATAGCATAGCAGCCACACCTAAGATTTTTAATAATGTTGCTGCTCTAAATACTAATTAACATGTGAGATAGTCTGACTACATTTCATTAGTAATAAGCTGACCTAGTTTATTGCCTATTCCATTTGTAGCCCACTGTGTCCACATGGGAGATGTCTAGCTTTTATGGACTGTTCCCTGGGAAATGGGCTGTTATTTACCCTAAATGGCATTGATCCTGAAGGATAGGAGATTTCTTATTTTCGACTAGGGAAGATAGTGAACCAAAAATGTAACACCTTCACATTTGATGTCTGAAGATCTGGCTTCTAAATTCTGCCTTCCCAACTTAAGAGCCCTGTAATCTTGACAAGTTATTTAACCATTATAAAGGAAAATTCATTTCTGCCCTGCCCATGACAGAGCTAAATGAAGTAGAAAAATAGAGACAGAACTTTATAAGCCACAAGAGTCTTAAGAGATGCCAGTTAGCTGCCTGCTCTTACCACTGCTGGCTCACACCACTTTATTTATATTCTTGCTTCTTACCATCTTTAGCATGTTGCTGGCAGGTGGAGAGACTGATTTCCTTAGTTCATTGTGTTTATTTACAATCTCTCTTTGGACTTCCGTTTGAGTGGTTAACAGCGCAGTAAAGGATGGATCCTACAGGGAAATAAAATTAGGGGTTTTTTTTTAAACACTTTTGAAAATTGCATTTAAGAGTGAATAAGTTAATTCAGGGGCTCTGAGATGACTTTACAAAGTGTTCAGTTCAAGCCACTATGAGTTGTTAAGCACTGTCAATGAACTGAACCAAGGCAATGACAAATAGGAAAAAAGTAGTTTGAAGTTTTGAGAATGGGAATGGAATTCACGGCATGACAAATTAAAAACTCCTCTGAGGCCGCAAATGCCAATTTCTAGTTTCAAGGGAACTCTCAGTGTGATTTTTCTAGACATACAAGTGATAATGTTTTATATTTTATAATATTGTGTACAAAGGTATACAATAAGAACATGAAGACAGATTCATCCACATTCAATCAGGCTGCAGCAGTGGGGTAAGAGCGGACCTCAAGACTCATCCTAGACTTTAAGGGGAACTTTGACCTGACACGGTATCTGTTTTTAGAGAAAGAATATATTTAGAATGTATTTAGAGAAAGAATGTTGAGGTTCAGTTGAAGTGCATTCAGTATTCTAGTAAAATGATTCTACCTGTTTTATTTTTTTAACATCTTTATTGGAGTATAAATGCTTTACATTGTTGTGTTAGTTGCTGCTGTACAACAAAGCGAATCAGCTACACGTATACATATATCCCCATATCCCCTCCCTCTTGCATCTCCCTCCCACCCTCCCTATTCCACCCCTCTAGGTGGTCACAAAGCACAGAGCTGATCTCCCTGTGCTGTGGGGCTGCTTCTCACTAGCTAACTGTTTTACATTTGGTAGTGTATATATGTCCATGCCACTCTCTCACTTCATCCCAGCTTACCATTCTCCCTCCCTGTGTCCTCAAGTCCATTCTCTATGTCTGTGTCTTTATCCCTGTCCTGCCCCTAGGTTCTTCAGAACCATTTTTTTTAGATTCCATATATATATGTGTTAGCATACGGTATTTGTTTTTCTCTTTCTGACTTCATTCTGTATGACAGACTCTAGGTCCATCCACCTCATTACAAATAGCTCAATTTCGTTTTTTTTTATGGCTGAGTAATATTCCATTGTATATATGTGCCACATCTTCTTTATCCATTCATCTGTTAATGGACACTTAGTTTCCTTCCATGTCCTGGCTACTGTAAATAGAGCTGCAGTGAACATTGTGGTACATGACTCTATTTGAATTATAGTTTTCTTAGGGTATATGCCCAGTAATGGGATTGCTGGGTCATATGGTAGTTCTATTTTTAGTTTTTTAAGGAACCTCCATACTGTTCTCCATAGTGGCTGTATCAATTTACATTCCCAACAACAGTGCAAGAGGGTTCCCTTTTCTTCACACCCTCTCCAGCATTTATTGTTTGTAGATTTTTTGATGATGGCCATTCTGACTGGTGTGGGGTGATATCTCATTGCAGTTTTGATTTGCATTTCTCTAATGATTAGTGATGTTGAGCATCCTTTCATGTGTTTGTTGGCAATCTGTATATCTTCTTTGGAGAAATGTCTATTTAGGTCTTCTGCCCATTTTTGGATTGGGTTGTTTGTTTTTTTGGATATTGAGCTGCATGAGCTGCTTGTAAATTTTGGAAACTAATCCTTTGTTAGTTGCTTCATTTGCAAATATTTTCTCCCATTCTGAGGGTTGTCTTTTCATCTTTTTATGGTTTCCTTTGCTGTGCAAAAGCTTTGAAGTTTCATTAGGTCCCATTTGTTTATTTTTGTTTTTATTTCCATTTCTCTAGGAGGTGGGTCAAAAAGGATCTTGCTGTGATTTATGTCAAAGAGTGTTCTTACTATGTTTTCCTCTAAGAGTTTTATAGTGTCTGGCGTTACACTTAGGTCTTTAATCCATTTTGAGTTTATTTTTGTGTATGGTGTTAAGGAGTGCTCTAATTTCTTTCTTTTACATGTAGCTGTCCAGTTTTCCCAGCACCACTTATTGAAGAGGCTGTCTTTTCTGCATTGTATATTCTTGCCTCTTTTATCAAAGATAAGGTGACCATATATGCGTGGGTTTATCTCTGGGCTTTCTATCCTGTTCCATTGATCTATATTTCTGTTTTTGTGCCAGTACCATACTGTCTTGATTCCTATAGCTTTGTAGTATAGTCTGAAGACAGGGAGCTTGATTCCTCCAGCTCTGTTTTTCTTTCTCAAGATTGCTTTGGCTATTTGGGGTCTTTTGTGTTTCCATACAAACTGTGCAATTTTTGTTCTAGTTCTGTGAAAAATGCCATTGGTAGTTTGATAGGGATTGCATTGAACCTGTAGATTGCTTTGGGTAGTAGAGTCATTTTCACAATGTTGATTCTTCCAATCCAAGAACATGGTATATCTCTCCATCAGTTTGTACCATCTCTCATTTCTTTCATCAGTGTCTTATAGTTTTCTGCATACAGGTCTTTTGTCTCCTTAGGTAGGTTTATTTCTAGATATTTTATTCTTTTTGTTTCAATGGCAAATGGGAGTGTTTCCTTAATTTCTCTTTCAGATTTTTCATCATTAGTGTATAGGAATGCAGGAGATTTCTGTACATTAATTTTGTATCCTGCTACTTTACCAAATTCATTGATTAGCTCTAGTAGTTTTCTGGTAGCATCTTTAGGATTCTCTATGCATGGTATCACGTCATCAGCAATAAGTAACAGTTTTACCTCTTTTCCGATTTGGATTCCTTTTGTTTCTTTTTCTTCTCTGACTGCTATGGCTAAAACTTCCAAAACTATGTTGAATAATAGTGATGAGAGTGGGCAACCTGTCTTGTTCCTGATCTTAGTAGAAATGTTTCAGTTTTTCACCATTGAGAATGATGTTGGCTATGGGTGATTCTACCTGTTATAGGTAGATTTTATAGGGTCGCTCAAAAGACCCCATTAAAAAAATCTCCAAGGCCATTTGGAGGGAGCAAAGCCATCCAGTGAATGGACTGTTGCTGCTTTGTCCCTTTTAGAGACAGAAATATAATTGATAAGGTATTAAATCAGTTGCTGATATTTTTGGTGTATCTTTGTGTGTGTGTGTGTTGGGGGGGATGGGTCCTAAACCTGGAGGTGGAGTAGGGTGTGTGAATTGCTCCCACAAGGTCTAGCAATTTGATAGCCTAAATTTACACAAAAGGCTGATGTTACATGAGCAAGATTTTTTTAAAAAATCTATTTATTTATTTTTAGTTTTTGGCTGTGTTGGGTCTCCATTGCAGTGTGCAGGCTTCTCATTGTGGTGGATTCTCTTGTTGCGGAGCTCGGGCTCTAGGTGTGCAGGCTTCAGTAGTTGTGGCACGCGGGCTTAGTTTCTCTGTGGCATGTGGGATCTTCCCGGATGAACCTGTGTCCCCTGCATTGGCAGGCATATTCTTAACCACTGTGCCACCAGGGAAGTCCCAGCATGAGTAAGATTTTGAAGTGTAAGTCTGAATAGACAGGGTCCTTGGTTGATCTTCCCGACACCTTGGAATAAGTCATTCTCTGCTCCCCCAATACTGAGTCCCCTTCAAAGCTCTGCAAATACTGTGAACATAGGTCTGACCACATTTTATCACCATGATCTCATTGTGCATCCATTTCTCCTGCCTACTTGTACGTTCCTAAGGACAGGGGCCAATACTGAATGAAAAATAAATCCAATGGCACGTATCTTTATAAGAGACACAAGAGGAGAAGGTGATGTGAAGATGGAGGCAGAGATTTCAGTGATGTAGCCACAAGCCAAGGATTGGTGGAAGCCACCAGAAGCTGGGAAAGGGACATGGAACAGACTCCCTCCTAGATCCTCCAGAGGGAGCATGGCCCTGCTGATACCTTGATTTCAGACTTCTGGTCTCCAGAACTGTGAGAGAATAAATTTCTATTGGGCTAAGCCACCAAACTTGTGTTAATTTCCTACAACAGCCCTAAGGACCTAATGCATTAATTTTCCAAAATATCATGTACTCCATATAAAAATAATGCAATATTTTTCTTTTTTTGTACTAAATCTTTGAAATCTGGTGTGTAATTTATACCTACAGCACATCTTGTTTTGGAAAAGCCACATTTCAAGTCTTTAATAGCCGTGTGTGACAGATAGCTGCTGTACTGGGCTGCTCATCCTTGAACTTTCATCTAGATAATTACGCTAAGTGCTCTGAGCTACCAAGGAGTACTCTGTGATGTACTAGACACTCTCATTACTTCCGCTCTCAAAGTGCCTTGCCATCCCACAGAGCTGCCTGGATAGGTCTGGAAAGATTTTTCCACTTTAACCTTACCTTTGCTTCGGTGGGGAAAGATGGTAGCAGCACAGCAGCCAGAAACAGCACAACTGGGAGTGAAGCCATTGCTAGGAAGTAAGTCAAAGAGAACAAAGGTCTACATTGAAACATGTAGTACATGGACCTCTAACTAGGAGGGAAGAACTAATGTAATGATGTTGGTTATCTCAAAGGAGCCGTGATTCCCAAATTTACAAGTAATGTAACAAGAGAGGACTGTCATATGGTGCCAGTAGAATAATAGAACCAACCTTTTCTCTGATAGGGACAATAAAAAATAAGCTGAAGAACTTGACTGTTGCACTTGAATTATACCTATAAAGGTGAGGGACATACCACTTCTTTCTGCCCACTTCTATTGCTCCTAAGCCCATCAGAAAGAAAATATGGAAGAAAACAGATTTCGCCACAGTTAATTATGATCTTGCATTGATTATTCATTTCAATTTTAGGGCAAAGTTTATTTTCAGTGTATACCATTTCTTAGTTTTTTTCCTCTTGTCTATGAAAAGTAGACTTCTTGTCCTTTTATTTATACACAACTCTAATCAAGATTTCAGGGTTGTGATTACACAGAAATGTACAAATACTTTAGTAGTAGTCATTTCTCCAGTGGAGGCATTAGAAGTTATGTTTATTTTATTCCTTACACTTGTCTATATTTTCAAATTTCCAAGTATAGAAAAAAATACAAATAGAACTAATATATTGAAAATCTAGCCTGTTCGAATTTGCTGAATCCATGATTGGGTACAAAGGTTACTTAATATCTTCATTAACTTTTTAAAAGACACTCAGCACTGGGTTGCCCACATTGTGCTTTCTCAATGTGTCACAAAATCCTTGGTCCTTTAGATGAAGCAAAAAGAACATGAAGTTTAGGAAGCATTCATATTCTCTTCCCCACCGTTCATCATATAAAAATTACTCACTTTGTAAATTAAAGCAATACTACCTAGATTAACTGTCTTCCTATGCAATTGCTACCCCCAAATTCTTGGAGGAAAAGAAAATTCTAAACTATTTATCTGCAGTACTTCTCAGGCCTGATTGATCTGTAAATAGTGGACAGTTGGTACCTCTTCCATGTATTGCCTTTCTTCTCAATAGTGTGATTATCAAAGGGAGAGGAATGAACATTTATTGACATTGTAGGGCAAAATACAATGTCTAATTTCACTCTCTTACCTTCGCAGGTATGGTGGTGTTTTACCGATGAAGGAATTGAGGCCTATAAGAGTTAATTAACCTATGCCAATGGTAAGTTCTTTTATTTATTTATTTATATTTATTTATTTTGGCTGCGTTGGGTCTTCGTTGCTGCGTGCGGGCTTTCTCTAGTGGCCTCGAGCGGGGTCTACTCTTCATTGCGGTGCGCGGACTTCTCATTGCGGTGGCTTCTCTTGTTGTGGAGCACAGGCTCTAGGCGTTTCCATAGTTGTAGCACACAGACTCAGTAGTTGTGTCTCGCGGGCTCTAGAGCTCAGGCTCAGTAGCTGTGGCCCATGGGCTTAGTTGCTCCCCGGCATGTGGGATCTTCCCAGACCAGGGCTCAAACCCGTGTCCCTTGCATTGGCAGGCAGATTTTTAACCACTGAGCCACCAGGGAAAGTCCTGGTAAGTTCTTAAGTAATGGCAGAAATTAACCTTCAACCAATTATGATGTCCAAATCAATGCACATTGAAAGGAAAACATAGTTTCAACCGGGAAAATCAAACATTTTGTAGCTCAATGGAGACACTCATCCTTATTTTAACAATTCCTGTGTTAATATACAACAGTATACAGTATGTTCATAGTAAAAATCACTAACATGGAATAATATACAATATATACAAATTGTCATATTTTACATTGTTTTCTATTCAATATAGTTCTAGTATACTTGTTTCAAAATCATAAACACGGGAACTATTCTATTATCCATTTTAGAATGAGATGTAAAAAATTCATTTGTTTCAACTTGACATAGTGAGAGTAGAATTAATTCAAGATCATTGTCTCAATAACTATCCATAAAGTTTGAAAATCATGGGTACATTTGTTAAATATATAATTTTACCGTTGGTAAAATAAAAATGATTGACAAATAAAATGTTCACATTTAAATAAATGAGTTATCACTTACTGTTTGTTTTCAGAGCAGGATGAAGTATCTGCTTTGTCTGTAGGAAGAAGAAAAGTACAGAGAAGGTTAGAGCACAATATATATTATATCTATTTCTGTTTTAGAAAGTTCTGGTTGTGCAAGTAAACCTAAGTCAGTACAATTCCAAACCAGAATTTTTCACACCAATAGCTTCCAATTTCATTGCCAGTTATCGGACATTGTTTTTGACATTATTTGGTTCTCATGTAGCTTTTAACACAAGTAAGTAAAGCATACCCTCACTTCCTGGCCAGCCCTCTTCTCTTCTGATGCAAACTAAAATCTGGATGCTGCCTTTTTGGCCTCGTATTTCTATAATAACCACTGAAGACTGGGCAATCACTGTGAAGGTAACCAAGATCCTACCTTAGAGCTGAACTTCTGTGGCTCAGCTTTCTATGACTTTTACTTCCCGGTGCCAACTTTCTATAGCTTATTGGATAAGAGCACAGTCTTTGGAAACCATCAGTTCTTGAAAAATCTTCTTTGATCTACAGATTTCTCTTCTGTAAACTGTGGATTATCATACCATAATTTTGCTTTGAAAACAGCATAATGTACATAAAACACCTACTATGATGCCTGACATATAATACTCAATAAATGGAAATTATTAATATTTTATTATTACCCTTCGCAATGAGTAGCAGTCTGCTGAGCTCATACGCTCTCTCTATAAATGCATGTTGTTTGAACTGCTAGTTTTAGAAGTGTTTATAAGACCTGTTTTTACTTCCAGGTGTCATAGGAAAAAAATCACTATAATCTAATCATATATTCCAATGTTCAAGGCCCAGTTCCGCTGGAGACCTTTTGGCTATCTTGATATCTGGGCTGTTGTATCCTTTGATACCCAAAGAGCTGTATCCTATCAGCTCTTTGAAAGACATACACATGAGCCTGACAATTTTGTATAGCTTAATCATGCCACAGGTTTGCATTAGATGATCCGTAATTCCATAATTTAATAGACAAAAGATGCCACATACTCCTCCCTGACACTTTCCTCTCCCTACTCCCTCACTCACCCAACCTAATTTTTTGTTGTATCAGTGAAGGCAGTGACACTTTGGGTGACATATATTTAAAGAAAAATTGATATTTTATTCCTTTAAACCCTAATTCATGCATAGTTGAAAAGCTGGCTGCCATTATTTTACCTGGATACTTACTAATGGAAAAGTACTGTGCCCTTTCTTGTAGGTGTTTTAAGACCAGGATGATGTGGTTCTTCTAGGGTGTCTACAAGAAGAGCATGGTGTATGGTTTCGTAATCCTAGAATAGGGAAAAAGAGAATATTTAAAATAAAGACATGAAGAAGAGATAGGTAGTATCAATAATCCCTGTCACAAACTTAAAACTTGACTCAGCTGTTTCGTATTGTTTTTCTAATGCTTTACTGCATTTATTTGATCTCACCATTAAGACAATAATCTCCTTCTGATATCATTTTGTGTTTTGATGTCCTGGTATTTCCTTTAAACACTAACAAAGACGTGAGCTTCTTTTTTTTTTTTTTTTAATTTTATTTATTTTTGGCTACTTTCGGTCTTCGTTGCAGCGCACGGGCTTTCTCCAGTTGTGGCGAGCAGGGGCTACTCTTCATTGTGGTGCGTAGGTTTCTCATTGTGGCGGCTTCTCTTGTTGTGGAGCACAGGCTCTATGTGCATGGGCTTCAGTACTTGTGACACACAGGCTCAGTAGTTGTGGTTCATGGGCTCAGTAGTTGTGGCGCATGGGCTTGGCTGATCCTCAGCATGTGGGATCTTCCCAGACCAGGGATCGAACCTGTGTCCCCTGCATTGGCAGGTGGATTCTTTACCACTGTGCCACCAGGGAAGTCCCAAGATATGGGCTTTTTTTTTTTGCGGTATGCGGGCCTCTCACTTTTGTGGCCTCTCCCGTTGTGGAGCACAGGCTCCGGACGCACAGGCTCAGCGGCCATGGCTCACGGGCCCAGCCGCTCCGTGGCATGTGGGATCTTCCCAGACCGGGGCACGAACCCGTGTCCCCTGCATCAGCAGGCGGACTCTCAACCACTGCGCCACAAGGGAAGCCCAAGATATGGGCTTTTTAAAGAAGCTCAGTTAACTGTTGGTTGACCGACTTCCTTGGAATATCACAGCACACTTTCAAGACTCTCAACTCCTTATCTAGGCCTCCAACCCATACGCTCTTTAGAAGGTAATTTCTGTAAATAGCCAGGCATGTATTGAGTGGATTTAGGGGGGGCCCACCTATATCTCTTCATGTCTTTTCCTGGAAGCCAGCAGATTACATAAAGTCCAGAAGAGTCCTCAGTCACGATTCTAATTATTTGTAATACACAGTTTCTAATAACTGTTTGTTCAAAACATAAGAAACTAAAACTCTTAGTTTGATCTCATGAAAAACCAGAGTTAGAAATGACTTCAGGTTTCTGCTATGACTCAGTGTTTCACATAAATAGAATGATTTGTCTTTTACAATAGGTAATGAGTTTCAGTAGGATATCTTAGACAGGATGTTGAGTCTTTGGTGGCTAGGTGCTGAGCAACAAAACTGACCACTCTGTCATCTGTCTGAACCGAATCAGGTCATGTACCAACCTGAGTGCCTGAAGAGGCATGAAGGATCAGAAGACCCCTCACCCCACAGATCTTTCTCTCCCCACTTTTCACCCACCTACCTCCCCACCCCCATCCCCGGGCTGGGCATTTCCAGTTTCCCAGCCTGCTCTAATTCTTTTTTTTTTCTATGAAAGAGTATTTAATGGCATTGGTTTTCCATGCAGGCTTTATGATCACATATTAATCCAGATTCCTTAAGCACTGTTTCTTAAAATTGGAATGGATGTACAGAATATGGAAAATAGATTAGCATATTCAGTAATAAGTAGGTTATTTGATCCTGCAGATTAGCCATAGTGTAATCCTACTGCAAAGTTTTCCCCACGGGGCTTCCCTCGTGGCGCAGTGGTTGAGAGTCCGCCTGCCGATGCAGGGGACGCGGGTTCGTGCCCTGGTCCGGGAACATCCCACATGCCGCGGAGCGGCTGGGCCCGTGAGCCATGGCCACTGAGCCTGCGCGTCCGGAGCCTGTGCTTCGCAATGGGAGAGGCCCGTGTACCGAAAAAAAAAAAAAAAAAAAAGTTTTCCCCACACCTTTCCAACCGTCACCATTTTCCATCTAGAAGGAATGTAGAATTAGGCAAAGCCACAAGTGAAGCATTCCCTGTAGATTCTTACTCTTACTAAGCCTTCAGCAAAATCTTCTCTGGAATTAGAAGGTAAATGAAATTAAGAAGCAATAATATATGGCTTGACTTGGGGTTTGTTTTTTTTTCCTTTGATCTGGAAGATACAACTACTCTGTCTGATAACTGTGTGATACAAATCAAATCTAGTGTGTTTCCCATTTGAAGCCTAAAACCAGCACTTTAGAACAAACATCAACAATGTTTTCCTTTTAATTCTGATACCAGTTTATTCATGACACTTTGAGATTAAATTCTTAAGTGATAAAATCTGATATGCCAATTTGACATCAGAAGATAATATCTATTATTTTTTAAATGTTGTAATTTTGACTCAGGTAAGTTTTCCAATGTATTTAAGAGTTGACCTTTACCATGATTTTTTTTCAAAAGCAAAAAGAGAAAATATCACAAAAATAGAAAATAAAGCTAGCCTTCATAAAGCAGAGCATGGACTTTTCAAACAGCAATTCTCTCTCTTTCCTATTAACATCAGTGACATTGCAAACCAGACATGTAACCAAAAAGAGAAATACAATATACCCTGAAAGTAAAGAACAAGGTCAGAGGTGAGGCTTTAGCTAAAAGACTTTCTTTAGGCAACAGAGACAGCAAATCAAGCTTATGCTTTTTTTCTGTTCGAATCCTCATTAAAAAAAAGCCGTAATACCTCAGGTTTTTATTTTTAATTTCCCTTCCATGAAGTGCTATGTTAACACTTTCCTGCATTGCTATTTCCAAACATATTATGCATAAACCAGCATTGAAAAAGACTGTTAATTTTTTAAAAAGGAAGGAAAGAAAGAAGAAGAGAGGGCAAGAGAGCTAACAGGAGGGAGATGGGACAGAATAGGGAAAGGGAGGGAGACAGAGGGAAAAAGATAAGAAAAGGAGAGGGAGGCAGGCAGGTAGAGACAGAGAGAAAGAAGAAAAGAAAACGGAAGGGAAGAGAAATTGGAGGGATGGAGAGACATGTTTTTATGTCAGTCTGGTACATGTGATGTGCGTAAGCAAATTAACAAAGAAATCTAACACTATTAACAGAGAAATCTAAAAGTGTTTCATGGCATGAGGACACTTTAAATAAGTCTACCAGGTATGAGACTGGATTTCTATATTTCTTACACTTTATCTACTTTATAATTTCCAAATTTATTTATTTTTTCCCTTTTATTAGATAATTCTTATAAACATACATCTACCAGATTCCTCACTATGATTTTTGTTTATCCTTCTGAAGTATTCAGCTCCTAGTGACTTATTTCTACTTCCCTTAATGTATTTGTTATTTGTTCCTCTTTGCCGTATTGCTTTCTCTTCCTAAGTTTAAAACATCATCTTATCATAGGGATACATGTAGTAGTATTGTTTTTTTTTTAAGTCTGTTCCTAAAGAATGGACCAAAAGCAAAATGGAGCCATTAGAGTAATAATCTATTTCAGTGCCCTAAACTGGCTTTATTCAAAGCTCACCTGAAAAGGGTAGATTATTGTTTTTGTAAAGAAATTATACTCCAATAAAGATGTTAAAAAAAAGTACTTATTTACAATCAGTAACTGTTTAAACACTTTACAATTTATCAAAGTTAACAGAGAATATAAAGAATTTTGTCTTTGATCTGGTAGTCTATTAAATGATGAATTATTTCAGTCATTCGTTATATTATTATTCAGTTATGCAATTGCACCTGACTTTCACTTATTTTAGCCTATCCTAAAACGTCCTTAGCCAATAACAAAGGTGTCTATCGTGTAGTAGAAATCTTTGCAGT